GAGAGGAAAGTTAACTTCTAGCTGCGGTTTTTCGACCACAGCTCAAAGACGAACGCTCTCAGCAATACTAAATTTCCAGTCCTGTTTTTTATAAAGATTTGATCCGAACCCTTTGAATGGATGGATTTCCGGGATCACAGCTCACGGTAAGCAGTGCTTGTTGTGTGAGCCCTGACCCCTCCCATCCGATCGCGCAATTCCATGTCAACGGCAGAATTTGGTGGCGAAAGCTTAACGTGCCGCAATGCTCGGCACAGTCCGTCCTGCCCTCTGACGTCAACTGACCTATAGCGCGACCGCTGCCACCGGCCGCAGGCCATACCTGTCAAGGGCAAATAGCGAGCACCCTAAAGCGACTCGAACCCACCCCGCCACGGGTGGGTGCATCGGAAGGCAGGCGCTCTAGCCAACTGAGCCACCGGGACGGACAAATCTGTTATCTATCTATCTATGTTTATCTATCAATCTGGCATCCTTAATGCAAATTTGGAGCTATGACCTGCCGAGGTCAGTGACCTGGATAAGGTGACGGATGGCCATATCTTACTGCAAATTTGAAGCTATGACCTGCCAAGGTCAGTGACCTGGATAAGGTGAAGTATGACCATTTCTAAAAATTTTGACCACGCATAACGCTTGTGTGCATTTTTTCCCATTACTCAAACTAGCTCTAATGATAGAAAAAGGTAGCACCAACGGTCGGCTAATTTAATATTTTTTCTAAAAACGCTGGGTAAGTGATCTCAGGTGAGGTCAGTTTTTGATACTTGTTCGTAAATAACACAAATCTGTACTCCTTTTTGTGCAGTTGTGGCGTTTGTATAGGAGGAAAAGAGCACCAACACACATGTGTAACCATCATACGGCCACAGAGCGCATGAGATTGGCCTAGGTCATCACCTACCTCTGCGGGTGTCTTTTTTAAAACACATGCTGATCTCAAAATAGGCAATTTCGTCAGGTAATGGTGGGCACAGAATTCGAATATTCTACCGAAAACAGGTTGTGATGTCATTCTAATGCATAATGAGATCACAAGAATATGCGAGGTCATATGAGGTCGTCATTGGTCAATAATCTCTGTTATCAGTAGCGAAGAGGCTAGAACGAGAGCGACGCGTCTAGCCACCTCTACGTATAGTGTTGTTAAGCAATGACGCACA